ATTAATTTTCTTCCTTAGCAACTTGCATAGTATCTTCCAGAGCTATGGGTGTTAAATTTTAGGTGGAAGGCTTCCAGGTCAGTTCCTGTTCCATTGTTCCAAGTCTTGTGTCTGAAGCAGAGCAATAAGATGAGAGAAAAATTAAAGAAGTACTAATTGAAAGAGGTCAATAAATGTAACAAAACATAAATGGACTTAAGGACAAAAACCACATGGTCATCTCAATAGATGTAGAAAAGGCCTTTGGCAAAATTCAACATGGAAAGTCCTAGAATGAATTTGTCTGGAGGGTACAAACCTCAACATAATTAAAGCTATATACAACAAACCCACAGGCAACATCATCCCAAATGGAAAAAACCTGGAAGCATTCCCATTAAAATCAGGAACCAGACAAGGATGTCCACTATCTCCACTACTTTTCAATATAGTGCTTGAAACTCTTTCTTGAGCAATAAGGCAGGAGAAGGAAATTAAAGGAGTACTAATTGGAAGAGAAGAGGTCAAATATCTATATTTGCACATGATATAATATTATACCTAAGAAATCCCAAAAATTCTACTAGAAAACTGTGAGAATGATTAATACTTTCAGTAAAGTGTCAGGTTACAAAATCAGCTTTAAAAAATCAGTAGCCTTTCTATATACCAATAGCAAGTGATAAGAAAAAGCACTCAAGGAAACACTCCTATTTAAATTAGCTTCAAAAAGATGAAATATTTAAGAACAAACCTAAGCAAAGATGTTAAAAATCTCTACATTGAAACTTTCAAATCTCTAAAGAAAGAGATAGAAGATAACACTAGGAGATGGAAAGACCTACTATGCTCATGGATTGGTAGAATCAATATTGTGAAAATTACCATCTTACCAAAAGTAATTTATAGATTCAGTGCAATCCTAATCAAAATAATCAATGACATTTTTCACAGAGCTTGGAAAAAATCATCCTAAAATCCATATGGAATCACAAAAGACCGTGGTTTGCCAAAGCAATCTCAGGCAAAAAGAACACTGGGGAGATCACCATAGCATATTTCAGATTACATTACAGAGCTATAATCATAAAAACTACAAGGTACTGAAACAAAAATATACACATAGATCAATGGAACACAATAGGAGACACAACCAAAAGTACATACAATTTCAGCCACCTAATATTGGACAGAGGTGTTAAAAACACAGAGTGTAGGAAAGATAGCATCTTCAACAAATGGTGCTGGAAACACTGGATCTCCACCTGCAGAAGAATGAAACTAGACCCTTATCTTTCATCCAGTACAAAAGTACTCCAAATGGATCACAGATCTCAACATACAGCCTGAAACTCAGAAACTGCTACAAGACAACATAGGCAGTACCCTCCAAGATATGGGTGTAGGAAATAAATTTCTAAATTGGACACCAGCTGCTCAGGCACTAGTGTCAACAAGTGGGGCATCATTAAATTACACAGCTTCTGTACAGCAAAAGAAATGTCATGGCTAATCCTGGTGTCAACTTGACTGGATCTGGGATTAACTGAAATGAAAGAGATCTTCTTGATTGGATCATCTGAAGCTGGAAGACACACCCTAAATGTGGGTGTTATGTTACCTTCTGATGGCAGCCCATATAAAAGGCCAAGGCAGAGGAGAACGTTTTTGCTTCTTGCTGCTTGCCTTCTCTCTTGCTGGTGAGTTCATCTTGCTGCTGTAGGCTGAAGACTAGTTGAGTTTTTGGAATTCATCAGACCTCAGCACCAGGTTGGGACTCCTGAGACATCCAGCCTCATGGACTGAGCAACTACAGAGTCTCAGCCTCTCCAGTGTGGTGCAGCCATTATTGTACTACCTTATGAGCTAAGCTGATAAATCTCTATACATATATATTCATTCTACCCATTCTGTTTCTTTGGGGAACCCTGACTAATACAAGAAACAACAAAGGAAGAAAAGAGGAGACCCACCAAGTGGGAGAAAATCTTTACCAGCTACACATCTGACAGAGGATTAATATCCAGAATATACAAAGATCTCAAAAAACAAACAAGGAAATAAATGACCCAATAAAAAGATGGGCTAAGGACTTGACAGGAGAGTTCTCAAAGAAATAGACATGGCTAAGAAGCACCTTAAAAAGTGCTCAACACCTTTAGTAATAAAAGAAATGCAGATAAAACCACATTAAGATTCCATCTTACCCCAGTTATACTGGCAAATATCAAGAGAACCAAAGACTCCAAATGCTGGAGAGGATTCATTTGTTGCTGGTAGGAATGCAAACTTGTGCAACCACTATGGAAATCAGTGTGGAGAACTCTCAGAAAACTGAAATAAATCTACCATATGATCTGGTTATACCACTCCTTGGCATATACCCAAAGGACTCTTCCTACTGTAAAGATACCTGTACATCCATGATTGTTGCTGCTCCCTTCACAATAGTTAAGAAATGGAAACAATATAAGTATACCTCAACTGACAAATGAACAATTTTTTATCTTTTATTCTAACATTAGGATTAATTCAATTGGAGATATATTGATTTATAAGATGTGGCTTTTAAGATTTAGCATACATAACCAGAGAACAACTGCTCTCGGACTACTTCCTAATTGCTCCCCACAAGTAGGGCCTCAGTTTTCTGAGAAATCTACCACACTCTCACTGTCTGATTCTGGCTGGGAAAATTTGCTTATTCAGGCCATGCCAGACCTGGGGGGGGTGACTTTTTGGGGCGGGGAGGGGGTGCTGGACTCCAGGTCATTTTCCACATGCATACAGTTAGAATCATCAAATTGAGTTAATGTGCACAGATCCCTCTTTCAGTGAAGCCTCTTTTCTCCACTCTTATGAACTCAGAATTTTGTCTTCAATCCTCAGC